GGTCTTTGAAAAACTTAATTTTAAGCTCAAACACAGACCATATCCGATGTTTTTGGAGTCAAAGAATTGATTTTCGACTTGGCTTGAACTAATTTTCTTTTTTAGTTTGTAAAAACTCGATTTACTGGTTTGTCCATCAAAGTTCTTGGTTTGAAGCTCAACGTTAAACTTAATTTCATAAAAATCTAGAGTGGGTAGTGCACAAATCAACACATGGATCTAAAGGAGGGGTGAAATAGGAGTCGTTTCACTTTTGAATCACCTGATTCGGTCGAGAAATGAGGGAGATATACTAGAAAGAAGGAGAGGGGGTCAAGCTAGAAAAGCACTAGCCACCCAGATGGCGAGTGAGAGCGCGTGGGCATGCATTGGGGGTGTGGTTTGGACCTCCAACCTCCTCTTTTCGAGGGCTTTCTATCCAAACCTTGCTTGACCAAATCTGACATCATTTGAATATCGCATCGATAATGACCATTTTATCCCTTATAAGATCCAACTTTCGCACCTATGCAATTTTTGACCAAACCAAGTTTATTTATATGTTTTAATAGATCTTAGGAATTTATATTTCAGTTGCCTCTAAAAAGTTCAGTTGTTTGATTTTTGACAGTTGTTCAGGTATCCAAAACGAGGCTGTGGTAGGTTATCCGATCCTACATTATGAGCTTCAGTTTTCAAACTCTTTTTCATATTCAAACTATTTTAAAATGTGTTTTAATAAATGTTCTCGACTAACGTGGTTGGGCGTGAATATTGGTTTTGACTTCAGATCCAATGGTGTTCTTTGAATCCATGTGTTTTGAGTACTCAGATATTTTTTGTGAAAAGTACTGTGCGACCTGGATTGAACGATAAAGGGCCCAGGATAAGGGAGCATATCTTCCTTAGGTGCAATACCCCTAAATGGTTATTATTTGATAAAAGGCATTGAAAATGTCCTCTGAACCCCCGTCGTACCGGATTATGAGTACCGGGTTGATACTAGATGATTTTAGATAATAGTATCTTAAAAATATATTTTGAGTTNACAGTTGTTCAGGTATCCAAAACGAGGTTGTGGTAGGTTATCCGATCCTACATTATGAGCTTCAGTTTTCAAACTCTTTTTCATATTCAAACTATTTTAAAATGTGTTTTAATAAATGTTCTCGACTAACGTGGTTGGGCGTGAATATTGGTTTTGACTTCAGATCCAATGGTGTTCTTTGAATCCATGTGTTTTGAGTACTCAGATATTTTTTGTGAAAAGTACTGTGCGACCTGGATTGAACGATAAAGGGCCCAGGATAAGGGAGCATATCTTCCTTAGGTGCAATACCCCTAAATGGTTATTATTTGATAAAAGGCATTGAAAATGTCCTCTGAACCCCCGTCGTACCGGATTATGAGTACCGGGTTGCTACTAGATGATTTTAGATAATAGTATCTTAAAAATATATTTTGAGCTGTGACTATCTATTTTGACTAAATACCCATTTATGCTATTGAAATACTCTGGTATATGTTACATTTTTCTGAAAACCTGTTTAAATCTCAATCACTGTAAAATGCTATGCTATTTTCAAACCAAATTTATCGCACAATTTGGTTAATCTATTGAGCGTGAATTGCCTATCTAGATTGACTAGACTTTACTTCGTTTTGCACATTAAAAATATAACTTTTGAGAAACCCACTAAGTGAGGTTGGCATTGTAAATGTTTAACTGAAGTATTCTTACGGTTTGTAATCCCTAACTAATACCTATTGATCTTGTGGGGAAACTGAGTTTGGAGAAGTGTTTGGTTGATATCTGAAACATCAATAACATGCTCGTGAGACGCGGGGGCATTACAATAGCGTGCTCGGGCGTCAGAGTCGCCATGCAATTTTGCGGTGTTGANTGAGTTTGGAGAAGTGTTTGGTTGATATCTGAAACATCAATAACATGCTCGTGAGATGCGGGGGCATTACAATAGCGTGCTCGGGCGTCAGAGTCGCCGTGCAATTTTTGCGGTGTTAANGAAGTGTTTGGTTGATATCTGAAACATCAATAACATGCTCGTGAGACGCGGGGGCATTACAATAGCGTGCTCGGGCGTCAGAGTCGCCATGCAATTTTGCGGTGTTAAGGGATGTCCGTGTCATTTAGTCAAATGTCAGTAGACAAATTTTACCCAATAATTTATCCCTTAATTAAGACTAACATAAATCCAGCCCTATTATCATAGACTTTTGATGGTACACATAAAAACTCAACTCTCATACATCAAAGTCTCCTGAATTTAATGAAAACTACATAGATAAAGCACTTACAAGGTCAAGGCAAAGGGTGCACCAAAATAAGCCAGACACTACTGAACTAAGGAACGGATTAGATGCTGAGATGTACTCTACAGAGGAAATGTTTATGGTACTTAGCCTAGACAAACTTCCTTATTGCAAGGCATCATTAGAGTAGACAGTGAGTCAGAGTCACTATATGGTACATGCATGTCCCAGAAGAGTCTTTAAATGAAGCATATAAAAAAAAATTTCAGTCAAAAATCTCCCTTTTTCAGTTAAGAATCTCTCACAACGGGAATCCTATATCCAAGACTAAGACAAGCTTCCACTTATCAGTTTGAATGGAAAGCAATATGTCCCTTTTTTCTAATAAATCCATATACGCTTTTTCTTCTTACATGATAATCTGTATTCATATGTTGTCCAACACATAGAGCCATCCATCTATGAGAAATATATGTTTCGATTTTTTTCAAATTCAACCAATCTTTCTTTACAATAACAGAATGTTAAGTGTAACAAAAATCAAGAGGAAGAGAGTTAACATTACCAGACCAAGTGCCTGCACTTGTCTACCAGTGGTTGTGATTTGACCTTCAAAAGTAGACAGTGAAACCAATATCAAACAAACCACTGGACAGGACAACCAATTTGTATGCTAGGTCAAATTAGAAAATGAAGATGAAAGCGGAGTTGCAATGGGTTTGCAATTACTAGAAAATTATGGTGGTAACCAACAATTGGTTGACTTTGTTAAGAGTATTAAAATTAAGGGTAGTTTAGGCATTTACTTTATGTTGTATTGTCCTACTATATAAGGGCTTACACTGTGTATTTCTAGGTTAAGTAGGATTACAAACTTGTTTAGCAGCTATAATATTTTTTCTTTCTCTTCTCTACTCTCTCTTTTCTTGTCTTTTTGATCAATGTTAACAGACTTGGGCACCACATACTTAAATTGCATATATTGTTGCATTACCATTTACCAATGAAGTGGTCTCTAGATGTGTGTGGGTTTATTTCCCCTTTTTTTTTTTTTTTCATTTTCTCTGTTTGTTTTTTGGAAAGGTTGACCGAGAGGGGGAACAAAAGGAAAGCCCAATTTTCATGAGTTCAACTCTTTATGGGATTTCTACACTACCCTCTATCAAGGGCATCCAACCTACAACCAGTTGGTAATGGGTAGAGGCCCTTGAATATATAAACGATAGAAGCTAACATTGGGTGGTCTTAATTTCTTAATGTGTGACGCAAACCTCTTTACACCCATCCTCATATGTGACCTAAACTCACACAAAGGCCAATAAACTAAATAGAAGAAAATAGGTAATTCAAAGGGTTAGATATTTAACCCACTAACCACCTAAGAGTCGGCTCTGATACAATGTCAAACTAAAAGGCATCCAACCCAAAACAATTGGTATCTGAAGAGGACAACCCAAAACATGTGGTCACCCATATCCACCAACTTTGGGAGTCGCTAATGTCTCAATTTGAGATACAAGCTCTCTTCGCACCCTCAATCTCCCATTTCAAGAGTGTTAAAGTAAGTAGGACACAAATACCAAATAATACAAAAAAAAAAAATAATAGCGATAAGACATTGCTTTAGGATAATCATATACCTGACCACATGTTTGGAAAGTCCAACAGATACTGCCATTCAAGAAATCAAGAAAATAAATATTTCCTTGGTAGCATCCAACTATAACCTGAGAAGACATTTCATGTAAAGTCAGAGCACATTACAAATGAAATGTGGTATAATGTAAAGTTGTAAATAGCAATGAGGGCCAACCTGAGAAAAGCTATCAACAATTGCGGCTGAACATTCTATCCGTCCTTCTAGTTTAATCTCCCACTGGACTAAGCCACTAATCCAAATTAAAAGGTNATGTAAAGTTGTAAATAGCAATGAGGGCCAACCTGAGAAAAGCTATCAACAATTGCTGCTGAACATTCTATCCGTCCTTCTAGTTTAATCTCCCACTGGACTAAGCCACTAATCCAAATTAAAAGGTAAAATAATATCATAGTCAACACCTTAAAATTCTTCTAGAAACCAGTCTTAGTATTTCTGACAATATCCATGCTCATACTAATAATATGACACTAGAGCAATCAGCAATGCATTAATAACTGTTTCGGTGCTCATCGTGTTTAAGTATATAAGAGTCACAAATAGTAACAATATGATATAAACTGGGTTGTGCTCACCTTCTAACATATATCCGTCATCTGATGATTAGAGACATACAAATATCACCACTCAATTATGTGAACAATTTGTAAAAGTAATGCTATTGGCTCATAATTTGGAGACCCAGTGATTGTGACCATTGAATTATCAGTGGGTCTCAGTATTGAATGAAGCCCACTATCAATTCAATGATTACAATGCATTAAGTCCCTAAATTATGTCCTCAAATCATGTCTCAATAATAGTATAATCATCTCATGATACTTTTAAATAGTCGTTTCATTTGACCTAATGAACTCAGGTCTTGGGGGAAACATGAGCATTTCCAACACAACAAAATTCTGCATAAGGTAAATTGTCAATTACATAACACAGCCAAAAGTAAAGATATAAATCAGTATATTGCTATTAAACATGAATAAATGGAAACAATTTTCAGACTTTACCAATAGGATGCATATGATAATGACAGTCTTGTGAACTTTGAACAATGAAAACTAACCATTTTTCTCCTCCAGAAACTACCAAATGTTGCTCACCTTTTGGCATTGATACATAGAAATTTGTGCGAGTGAGATCCAATAAATACAAGGATGTCCCTTTCTTTAAACACAACAAGTGGTGACGCATCAACACAGGACTCCATGTGCACTTGCCACAACCTTTTCATACGACCTTTTTGGTCCCTTGGAATTTTTAGTGACCAAACTGCATGACATAAAGTATTCCCCTCATACTCCCCTTCATGCACAATGTTGTTGCACCGGCTAAATGAACATGCCATGTGTATTGAGCTTTGATCCCAAAAATAGCCATCTTTAGGCCTTTCATCCTTTAACTTCATGCACGAATTTGAATCCATCTTCAAGTATTTGGTAGGGTAAACAGGATTGATGTTAGAGAGGGTTCTAAACAACCTTCCACGTGGCTTACTGCTATAATTATCAGAAGTCCTAGAATCAAAAGAGAGAAGTGAGCCACCATCAAGCATTTTCACATCCACTCCCAAATAAGCATCAATTCTTAGATCATGATTGCTCAACCTTTCCTCTTCCAGAAGGGCCAGTTGAAGCTTCAATGGATTTGGAAATGCATATAGCAACCTCATATCTATTCCTAAATTATAGGAAGCATGCGCAGCAGAAATGGAAGTACCACCCATTTCGAAAAAATTGTCATCATCAGAGACGTTCTCAACCATCAAAACATCACAAAAGGTCTGTCCAATTCAAACCAAAAAAAATTATTTCTTCAGATGAAGGAACACTTGATATGAAAAATAGGTTATGATACCATATAGTCCAGAAAGTAAGATTCTATATATTCCCCTACAATAAAATTTAAACTTTTTACCTAGGCAACTTTGGTTGAGCCAAAATGAAACTTCTTTCATATGTCAAATACATTGAATAGAGTAAGTAATATAGGAATGTCAATATTCCCATGAAACAAAGAAATCTGGCATTATACTCCAAAAGATATTCTATATGAAACAAGTTAAATTACCCATTAAACTTATACCAAAAAAATGATTGAATATTTATCACCAAGGAAAAAATAGGGGGAGACATTTCAGAAAAAGAAAAATTCTCAAACCATCTCCAGAACGCATTTTCCAAAGATGCAAAGTTTTTAATCGTACTTGTGTCTAAATTTCCTCATGCACACCAGCCTACATGTGTTTCAAAAGTTAATATATGCTTGATATTATGGGGCATATATATATAATCTTTCCAATACGATTTAAGATGAGATCAATCAAGGGATGTGATAACCATTGTTCAAATGAGCGTTGCAGGGGCCTACGCCTAACACCTTCCGCACAGTTAATCAAACCCCTGAACTGAGTTCGTAGGAATGTGGGCCTAAGGAATCATCTTGCAAGGCATATATTCAATTTTGACTTAAATAAATGGGTGACTCATCATACCATAGTTTTCATGAATGGCAGCTCCAAAAGTCTAGGTTAATGTCCCTTCATTGATTTAACAAGTTCTTTTCAGGTGATACTTATTCCCTAAGTTCCACTGGAGCGAAACACTCAGAATCACCAAAAGTGGGTACCCTTGACCTAATCAACACCCCCTAAGCCAAAATTTCAGTGCCGACACATAATAGTCCTGCTCCCAACACGAGATGCTAAATACACATTTTAGTGCCAAAGAGTATGATCTTCGTTTTCTAACAAAATTAGGAAAATGCTAAGTAATGCGGCAGATGTAAAACAAAGTCAAGAAAATAAAGTTGAGAGCATGAAGGGTGTAAAGGGAAAACCTTTTTTATAACTTGCAAGAGGTCACTCTCTTCAATCTCATTTCTGACATGTCTCATGGGACGTGTTGAACTGGCCAGTGATGTGTATTCCACTTTCCCTGTGGAGGACATGGGGAATGATTGGGTAAAGAAGAAGTGACTAGGAATCATTGCCAGGGGAACTTTGTTGATCATCCAACTTCTAATTGAGGATATCAGACCTTCTCCACTTTCATCCTTCAGTTTTGTCACCAAGTATGCTTCAAGAACTGTGACTTCCCCTTGACCATTACGGGAAATCACTGCAGCATCAACTACATCTGGATGCTCCCTTAGCGTGCTTTCAATCTCCTCAAGAGCAATGCGCTGGCCATTAACCTTTATACGGCGGTCTGTTCTGCCCAAAAAAACCAAGTCATCACTTTGAAGCTTTCTGGCAAAATCACCGGTCCTAAAATAGTATTGACTTTTAAGCACACTGCTGGAACAGCCAAAATAAGAGTNTGCGCTGGCCATTAACCTTTATACGGCGGTCTGTTCTGCCCAAAAAAACCAAGTCACCACTTTGAAGCTTTCTGGCAAAATCACCAGTCCTAAAATAGTATTGACTTTTAAGCACACTGCTGGAACAGCCAAAATAAGATTCTTGAGGTAGCAGTATGTGGTCCAGTGGCATAATAGAAGAATAACAAAAGTATCCCACAGATGTGCAGAGTCCACTGACATATATCTCTCCTTGATTTGGCGCATCTTCTCCAACAAGCACTACATCACAGTTAGAGATAGGCAAACCAATTGGAACACTGCTTAGTTTCTCACTGTCCATGATCAACGGCAACCGCTTGCAATCAAAATATGTACAATCGCCAGACACCTAAATTGACAATTTCAATGCATTAGCCACTGAGCATAATCACTGTAATATCACTATCAACAGTAAATACACGCAAAGAGGTAGAAATGCCAATGGTCCTTATGTCAGCACCCCCAGCAGCCATGTTTAATATCTGATCCTGAAAGAAAATTAGTCATACATAAAAAGAAGAATGATGATGTCACAGCATCATCACAAAGACTAGGAGAATAAGAATTTTATACATGTTGCTGTTAAATAATAGTCCAAGATACTATAATAAGGTGACCAGACGTGAAGAAAATGTCAGATTCACATTACAAAAAGATGATCACAAATGATGCCACTGAAAATAGAATTGAATTCAATAAATGCATCAACCTACACTGCTAGACCCGGACATGTTCCAGCATTTCATGTTATTTGATGAAAGCAGCTAAAATCATATTACACAAATCAAATTATAATGCTAGAGACGATACAGCACTGTATATTACAACTATTGAAAGCAGCTAAAATCGCTGAAGACAGATGATGTATCTAATTACTCCCATGTGTCAAATAATAGGCATACTAACACAAATGACAGAAGGAACTTCACAATTATTAGAACTCACACCGCAACTGAAAAAACTATATTTTGGCCTGGCTACATCAAAGGCTTATGAAATCAGAGAAAAGGAATGCCATGTAATATTGTTATTGATATTAACCAATCTAGAGACTTTAGAGCAAATGTCTACACTTCAAGAGAGAGTTTTCTGTTGTTTCGTATATTGGGATCTTGTCCTCCTGTTTCCTCCAACCATTTCTCATTCTCTTTTCCTCCGCCAATGCTCCTCTTCCCCCCGCCTTGCAGTAGTTAATCCTTATTTTAGTTAATCCGTTCTATTGGTTCATATAAAGATACAGAGATACAAAAAAGTCAGAGCCGCTAGGAGTGATGCATACTCTCTAGGGAAAGCTTCTCTCAAAAGAAAAGGAAATCATTGTCTGATAACATTAGGTCAATCAACAGATTTCAAACAGATAGAGGTAAAGTCAATGGTTGAGTAACGAGAGATCATAGTTATCAGCACCAAATTGGAGACCAACCCAAAGAGGGAGGCTGGTCACACAAGAAAAATGGAGGCTCGAAATTCTTTGAGAAATTGAAAATTTGTTAACAAAACAAGGAGACAACCACAAAAGAATCAAGACAACTTCCAACAGATAGAGACTCACAAGGCAATTGTAGTAGAGCTCTGGAGCATTCAAGTAATTCTCAACGAGACTCGAGAGGAAATTTCCCCCTCCCAAGAGAACTAAAATTGCTGATCAGTTTGATGCAAAGAAAAAGCTTATTGAGGGAGACAAAGCCTTTTTAAGAACANCTTCCAACAGATAGAGACTCACAAGGCAATTGTAGTAGAGCTCTGGAGCATTCAAGCAATTCTCAACGAGACTCAAGAGGAAATTTCCCCCCCCCAAGAGAACTAAAATTGCTGATCAGTTTGATGCAAAGAAAAAGCTTATTGAGGGAGACAAAGCCTTTTTAAGAACAACATGGCTTTTTTAAGTTGGGGTGGGGAGAGTTTTGCATCACTTAACTCTGTCCCCAACAGCCTAGGCAGGATATGATGAAGGGCTTGGCCCATTCTCTGTACATTTTAGCCGGGTTTTTTAATTGCATCCATATATTTGACTAACCAGATGGTGGTGCCACACAAAAAGAGTACTCAATAGCAGGGTGCAGTTTTTTTTTTTTTTTGGAAAGTAGTAGCAGGATGTAGTTACCATTAAATTACGTNGCCCATTCTCTGTACATTTTAGCCGGGTTTTTTAATTGCATCCATATATTTGACTAACCAGATGGTGGTGCCACACAAAAAGAGTACTCAGTAGCAGGGTGCAGTTTTTTTTTTTTTTTTGGAAAGTAGTAGCAGGATGTAGTTACCATTAAATTACATTGAATTTGGTAGTCTATCTCGCAAAACATTTGAAAGTAATTGTGTAAACGTCTAACCTCTGTACTTCCATACAAATTCAAGATAGCAATATTGGGTAATAACTTCACAAGCATACCCAATAAATCCAGATATAGAACTTCACCACTTAGCACTAGTAAGTTTAAGGAGCTCTGAACCCCCATATTATATGCGCTTTGCAAAGCAGGAAGTATTGCCCTCATCAATGATGGAACAGCAACAAGCCTGTTGATGGAATACGCCTGTTGCACAGAATAAAAGAAGTTGCAAATGCTTTACATCATGACTTCTTTATCTTTCAATGGGTGAAAGTCTATAAGGAGGATGCATTTCTCACTTTCAGAAGATAACAAAAACACCATGGGATGAACTTTCAGTATGATGAAACAGATTAATGTGGAAATGCCAGTCGTATTTTATGATGCATTAACTCATTACACAGCTAAAACTAGATTTTATTCAAACAAACTACATGCTGCAGCTTTAATTTCTAAATGATCCAAATTTATACAACTGCATATTTTCTAATAGAAAGGTCCTTTGATGGAATGATTACAACACCACCACAGAAACCACAACAAAATCTTAGCTACAATGGCAACAAAGTGAACTTTTTTAATACATTCAGCATCATTTTGGCAAGTTCAGCTACAGTAGATGTATTGCGGTGGGGTTTTATAGTGCTTAAGGGATTTGGACATTCCGACATTGTACTTTCATATCCTTTTAACAGATTGGGAATTCAAACCCCCAAAAGAAACAACACATACCTACATAAATATAACTGCATTGTAACTTGTCTGAGTCATCCACTAGTTCATTCAGGAAAATAAAACTTCACTAATTCTCCCCCAATCCCCCTTGTCATCAACTAAAATTTCAGAAACTTGTGCTTGTGCCCACAAGTGCATCAGTGTGTTAGTGTGCATCAGTGTTATTTAAGGTGTAAAGCAAATTGAAGTGAACCGATCTCCTCAGACCTAGGTGAGATATATAGGAATAAGGGGCAAGCGGTTGTTATGAGCATATCAAAATTTTAATCCAATTGATCAATCTAATAGTTCATAATAGAGAAAGGAAGCAACTTAAAAAAATCACTAAAGCGCTCGCCTGACCTCTTTGCGCTTAAGCAACAAAGTGATTGCCTTGGTCGCTTTAATCTCGCCTCATTGAAGTTTTCNGAAACAGATTAATGTGGAAATGCCAGTCGTATTTTATGATGCATTAACTCATTACACAGCTAAAACTAGATTTTATTCAAACAAACTACATGCTGCAGCTTTAATTTCTAAATGATCCAAATTTATACAACTGCATATTTTCTAATAGAAAGGTCCTTTGATGGAATGATTACAACACCACCACAGAAACCACAACAAAATCTTAGCTACAATGGCAACAAAGTGAACTTTTTTAATACATTCAGCATCATTTTGGCAAGTTCAGCTACAGTAGATGTATTGCGGTGGGGTTTTATAGTGCTTAAGGGATTTGGACATTCCGACATTGTACTTTCATATCCTTTTAACAGATTGGGAATTCAAACCCCCAAAAGAAACAACACATACCTACATAAATATAACTGCATTGTAACTTGTCTGAGTCATCCACTAGTTCATTCAGGAAAATAAAACTTCACTAATTCTCCCCCAATCCCCCTTGTCATCAACTAAAATTTCAGAAACTTGTGCTTGTGCCCACAAGTGCATCAGTGTGTTAGTGTGCATCAGTGTTATTTAAGGTGTAAAGCAAATTGAAGTGAACCGATCTCCTCAGACCTAGGTGAGATATATAGGAATAAGGGGCAAGCGGTTGTTATGAGCAATTCAAAATTTTAATCCAATTGATCAATCTAATAGTTCATAATAGAGAAAGGAAGCAACTTAAAAAAATCACTACAGCGCTCGCCTGACCTCTTTGCGCTTAAGCAACAAAGTGATTGCCTTGGTCGCTTTAATCTCGCCTCATTGAAGTTTGCTTCGCCTAGACTTAATGAGTGAGGCATGCACATCCAATAATGGGCATAATTCATTGACATATCGGAANTACACTCCACAAAATAAACAATTGCAAAACCAAAATTCTATTATTTTAAAGAAAAACAATGTCTTGATGAAAAATATCATCACCACATTAAAATTGCTCCTGGTGGTCCGGTGCATAACGAAACACTAGCAAATACAATGAAAAAGCAAAAAAGAAGGATAAAGCCAGGAGCTAGCATAGAAATGTTGCACAAGGCACATGAGGAGGACAGGGATGGGGTAGGGGCAATAGTTTTTTTTTTTTTTTAAAAAAAAACTATTGTAGCTTAGAGGTAAATATACAAAAACCCCATGGATTGCCCCCTCGTGATCTTTCCAAAGCCACCCAATTAGAAGAACTCGTTGAGGCCACTACCGAGGGAAAAAAATATACTTACACATCTACCAAAAGAACCCCTACAAATGCTACTCTTATGGACTTTGGCATCGTCAATGTTATTTGTCCAAAACTGATTAAACGGGAAGGATCATCCATTCAATTCAGCAGAGGAGAATTTCATATCACCTAGTAAACAATAGTCATGAATTCGTGGAGACTAATAACAAATTCATAACTATCTTCCTCCCACAAGCAACACTCCCATACTAAACAAAATCAAAATATGGATATTCGGGACTACAGAATTTCAGTTGAATAAGAATATATCATATGAGGACACCTCTACAGATAATTATTGGTTGACATGTCAATAGACTCGATACAAAATCCTCTCCACTCATTTCTAACACTTATGTTGGACACTTGGGATACCGTCCACAGTTATTCACTTTATCAAAGTCCTCAATATGTTGGCTATCCATCTATGTCCTTATGGAGTGGTGATTAAAGATGGAAAAGAGTTTGTTGCTTTCCAAAAATTAACATTTTCTCGAGGTATGTTGCTCTCTACATTCATTTAAATGCACACAGATTAAATAAATACATACGTAAACATTTACGATACAGTAAACTCAAAAACGAAGACACCTTATATTATAGCCTTGTCCCTGTAGCGCAGGTCATACTCTGTGACTATATTGAAGCACGGACTCATATCCGGACATCATAGGTAAATATCCTAGCATCTTACATTATACACGACTTAGTGACAGCAGTGATCTAAATTCCCAGAAAAATCAAGTGGAACTGTAGAAAGAAAATTTAGTTTAATGCAACATTTTTTTATAGTATCAGATCTTTAAATCTTATTCAGGCAAACGAGTAAAACACCATCAAACATACAAGTATCTATGTACACAGTTGAGCTACAACAAACCGGCTCTCTTAAAAGTAAATCCAAGGATAAGAAGGTAAAATGCAGAAGATTTATATCAAAGGTTCAAAAATGAGCTCCATCAAAAGTAAAACAATAAAAGTATGCAAACTAAACCAACGGATTACAGTCGATCAAGGGAAGCCTCAGTTTCAATAAGCAAAAAAAGTTCTTAATACTTGTGCCAAAGAGTAGGTATTCTCTGCTTTATGTCCTTCTATGGAGCACCCCGCGAAACGAGGAAGATGGAGATTGCCACGCAGTGGTGCTGCTGGCAGCTGAGGTATAAGCAGGCAGAAAATTCACAGTCTGTAAAAACTCACAGGGGTGCTAAATTGTGGTGGATTCAAATCTTCAAATTTGTGTTGGACTCTAAAAATATCTTATGGCGANATTGCCACGCAGTGGTGCTGCTGGCAGCTGAGGTATAAGCAGGCAGAAAATTCACAATCAGTCTGTAAAAACTCACAGGGGTGCTAAATTGTGGTGGATTCAAATCTTCAAATTTGTGTTGGACTCTAAAAATACCTTATGGCAANCATCTCCACCATCGAGAATGCGCCGGAGCCGAAAGCTAAGGGAATCAACGGAAGAGAGAATCTCCGAGTACGTGAAACACTGATCGCCTTCGTACACCAGAGGATGGGACGGCAACGTCTTGCTGGCAAAGAATTCATCAAAGAATGATGAATCATCGCTAACATTAGAAATTGTCGTTTGATTGCCATTGTTACTGTAGAATTTGCGAAACTCTCTTGCAATTTTTATGCCGCCATACGCATGAACAACAGCGATTTTGTTGGGAGATTTCGCAGCCGCTTTGTAGAACTCGTGTGAAATACAACAACTCGCAAGCTTGTTCTCTTTCGATCCATCCTCAGTCATGCCGAGAGAGAGAGAGAGCAGTGTGGAGCGCTCGAGCCACAGGGCATCTCGAATTTGGAAAGTTACAAAGGCGAGAGAGAGAGATAGGCGGTTCCGAATTTGGAAGTTATAAAGGGCGGAGCTAATGCCACACACGTAGGGGTGCAATTGAGATGGGTAATTCGATTTTAACTCGAGCGCATCTCAAAAAAATTAGGATTTGGATAAGAGTTTTTAATATTTGAGTTAATTTTGGTTCAAAAAATTTTAATCCGAATTTAATTTGGGTTGAATTCTGGTTAAGACCTTGTAAACCCGAGTTCAACCCGACCAATTAAAAAAAATAATTATATATATATATAAAAGCATTAGCATTGATTTTTTATTTTTATTCTCTCGTTCTCTTTGTCTTTCTCGTTCTATCAGCCTCTCTCGTAAAAAACTTGNATTTCATATCACCTAGTAAACAATAGTCATGAATTCGTGGAGACTAATAACAAATTTCATAACTATCTTCCTCCCACAAGCAACACTCCCATACTAAACAAAATCAAAATATGGATATTCGGGACTACAGAATTTCAGTTGAATAAGAATATATCATATGAGGACACCTCTACAGATAATTATTGGTTGACATGTCAATAGACTCGATACAAAATCCTCTCCACTCATTTCTAACACTTATGTTGGACACTTGGGATACCGTCCACAGTTATTCACTTTATCAAAGTCCTCAATATGTTGGCTATCCATCTATGTCCTTATGGAGTGGTGATTAAAGATGGAAAAGAGTTTGTTGCTTTCCAAAAATTAACATTTTCTCGAGGTATGTTGCTCTCTACATTCATTTAAATGCACACAGATTAAATAAATACATACGTAAACATTTACGATACAGTAAACTCAAAAACGAAGACACCTTATATTATAGCCTTGTCCCTGTAGCGCAGGTCATACTCTGTGACTATATTGAAGCACGGACTCATATCCGGACATCATAGGTAAATATCCTAGCATCTTACATTATACACGACTTAGTGACAGCAGTGATCTAAATTCCCAGAAAAATCAAGTGGAACTGTAGAAAGAAAATTCAGTTTAATGCAACATTTTTTTATAGTATCAGATCTTTAAATCTTATTCAGGCAAACGAGTAAAACACCATCAAACATACAAGTATCTATGTACACAGTTGAGCTACAACAAACCGGCTCTCTTAAAAGTAAATCCAAGGATAAGAAGGTAAAATGCAGAAGATTTATATCAAAGGTTCAAAAATGAGCTCCATCAAAAGTAAAACAATAAAAGTATGCAAACTAAACCAACGGATTACAGTCGATCAAGGGAAGCCTCAGTTTCAATAAGCAAAAAAAGTTCTTAATACTTGTGCCAAAGAGTAGGTATTCTCTGCTTTATGTCCTTCTATGGAGCACCCCGCGAAACGAGGAAGATGGAGATTGCCACGCAGTGGTGCTGCTGGCAGCTGAGGTATAAGCAGGCAGAAAATTCACAATCAGTCTGTAAAAACTCACAGGGGTGCTAAATTGTGGTGGATTCAAATCTTCAAATTTGTGTTGGACTCTAAAAATACCTTATGGCAAAAGAAAAAAGGAAAAATGGTTGGATAGCTATGAAAACATCCAACAGCTGTTCCTTGTACTTCATGTGGGAAAAATTCAAAAAAATGCAAGCAGCCCAGCAAAACCAGAGCATATGTGATATATTGTTGTTTAATTTATTGTAGAATGCAAAAATTAAATATTGGCTTACCTATTTCAGTACCACATACACCTTTAGGCTTTCCAGTTGATCCCGATGTGTACATCAAGTAACAAAATGGTCTTAATTTTTTCTTTTCGCAAGGCCAGAGTAAACGTGACGAACAAACTTGGTGTTGAAGTTTGTCCTCCATGGATATATACAGAAACGAACATCTGCAGCTATCCACAAGCCAATACAACTTATCACCCTGGTGACCAAAATTTCCATCGATTGAGTTTTCATGCACAATAATAAGATCAGCTTCTGAAGAAGATACAACTTGTAATACTCTCTCTTGTGGCCATGATGGATCCAAAGGCATGAAAGCTTCCCCACACCTCAAAACAGAGAGGACAGCAATAATGTATTCAAGGGACGGTGCCATATATATTCCAACTATTCTTGGAGTAAATGTATTATGATACGTAGTAATGGGCTCTACACCCGGATAGGGTGAAGTTGAAGATGAAAAAATTTGAACATGTGGTGACTGCTTGCCAGGGAAATCACCTGCAACAAAATCAAGATAAACAAAAAAATTGGGCATGAAACATGCCATGCCTTGTCAAGTGTCTGAAGGATGATAAATAGAATTGATAATTATCCGTATTTCTATTACCTTCTTGAGTCTTTAGCCTGCTTTACGTTCAAGTATTGCTTAACTTCTGCAGCACATTTAGCAACTGTCTACCAAATACAATATGGGCAATCACAAAAATCTCACTTCAATCTCAATAATTTTATCATTTTCCTAAAAAGATCAAAACTATCTGGCAACTCATTTTCAGCCATTAATCTCTACATAATCCCTGGCATACTTAATCTTTTACATCTCATCTGCCCTTTTCTCCTTATGAAGATGTCTCCTTATTGCACGGACAACTTAACTACACCACAACTGAGCCCAGGAATCCAGGGGAGCATAGTGAAATTTCACCCATTTGGGTATTAAGGCAGACCAATCTCTAGGCAGAATTTCTATATTTTTGGCATCGTTTTCTTTTTCTTCTCTTTTTTTATGTTGTAAAGTATAAACTCTATTTCCTTTTCAAGCACAAGAATCGCTACATGAAATAAGTATCAAAAACGAAACCCCAACATGTATAAGTACACACTCGCACACATATATTCATATTCACACTCAGCACGCAAATATACAGACACACACACACACACACACTGACACATCTATACTGGGATATACACACGCGTGTGAATGTGCTTAGCCGCTAACCTGAAGTGGATTTGATCAGATGAGGATCATCTCCACCATCGAGAATGCGCCGGAGCCGAAAGCTAAGGGAATCAACGGAAGAGAGAATCTCCGAGTACGTGAAACACTGATCGCCTTCGTACACCAGAGGATGGGACGGCAACGTCTTGCTGGCAAAGAATTCATCAAAGAATGATGAATCATCGCTAACATTAGAAATTGTCGTTTGATTGCCATTGTTACTGTAGAATTTGCGAAACTCTCTTGCAATTTTTATGCCGCCATACGCATGAACAACAGCGATTTTGTTGGGAGATTTCGCAGCCGCTTTGTAGAACTCGTGTGAAATACAACAACTCGCAAGCTTGTTCTCTTTCGATCCATCCTCAGTCATGCCGAGAGAGAGAGAGAGCAGTGTGGAGCGCTCGAGCCACAGGGCATCTCGAATTTGGAAAGTTACAAAGGCGAGAGAGAGAGATAGGCGGTTCCGAATTTGGAAGTTATAAAGGGCGGAGCTAATGCCACACACGTAGGGGTGCAATTGAGATGGGTAATTCGATTTTAACTCGAGCGCATCTCAAAAAAATTAGGATTTGGATAAGAGTTTTTAATATTTGAGTTAATTTTGGTTCAAAAAATTTTAATCCGAATTTAATTTGGGTTGAATTCTGGTTAAGACCTTGTAAACCCGAGTTCAACCCGACCAATTAAAAAAAATAATTATATATATATATAAAAGCATTAGCATTGATTTTTTATTTTTATTCTCTCGTTCTCTTTGTCTTTCTCGTTCTATCAGCCTCTCTCGTAAAAAACTTGATTGAAATTATTCATTGTTAATTTAGGTGAATATTATGTAATATACATATTAGGTTTAGAACAACAAATCTATTTTGTGTTCTACCTGAATTGAACCCGTAAAGTAACCTGAAATCAGCCCGAAATCATCAACCCAAATTCAATCCGAGTCCGCCCGAATTAAATTAAGACAGTGCCCGGGTTGAATTCTTTAACCCGAAGTAGGGTGAGAGTTAGGGTTAGGGTTGAAAATTATATACCTAGGGTTGATTGTCTAACCCGCCCAAATTGCACCCCTAGTCCCAAGGCACAGGTCGGTTTGTTTACTAATTTTTAGGATAAATTACATTCACACTCCCTAACAATTAGTTTTATTATACAAATACTCCCACACGTTTCAAAAATTATATAAAACTCCCTAGACATTTAAAACGTATAACAACCACACCCCTCTAACTAATAGACATTATAATGGTTCATGATCAAAATTGATGCCATTAATAATAATTTATAAAATAGCAAAAATATCCTTCAAAATTAAGTTTAAAAATGTTAAAATTTATTTTTCTTACCCCATAATTTATTTTTTCTCTCATTTATTTCATCTCTATTTTATATTTCATAATCTATCAAATTAATAAGTTATATACTTTAATTTTTTGTTTATTATACAACATATTAATGTAAATTTAATNACACTGATCGCCTTCGTACACCAGAGGATGGGACGGCAACGTCTTGCTGGCAAAGAATTCATCAAAGAATGATGAATCATCGCTAACATTAGAAATTGTCGTTTGATTGCCATTGTTACTGTAGAATTTGCGAAACTCTCTTGCAATTTTTATGCCGCCATACGCATGAACAACAGCGATTTTGTTGGGAGATTTCGAAGCCGCTTTGTAGAACTCGTGTGAAATACAACAACTCGCAAGCTTGTTCTCTTTCGGTCCATCCTCAGTCATGCCGAGAGAGAGAGGGAGTAGTGTGGAGCGCTCGAGCCACAGGGCATCTCGAATTTGGAAACTTANCAATAATGGAGTTACTCCACCACCTTCGTCTCCATTTTCATCTCCACAACCACACAGCACACACACCTCCACCATAGTCTTGCACATTCTACCACATTCTTCTCCTCCTCCTCCATTTCCACCTTCTCAACCACACCACCCACATAATTACCATTGTCAAAATCGAACCCCAAAAAACATTACCGTCATTTTGATTCTCAGATTTTTAAGCTTTGGATCTTTCAATTTATCTCTCTCTCTCTTAACGTTATTTGCTTGGGTGGGTTAACGTTTTGGATGGGGTGGCTATTAAAGGGTGTTGCAGTGGTGGGCGAGGCTAGCAATTTTCATATATATATATATAGAGCTTGAAATAGTAGAAGAATCGATTTCACACACACACACACACACATAGAGAAGGAGTGAGGGAGAGAGAGAAGACCGATGATTTTAACCTAATTCTTTGCCTTGAGAGAGAGAGATAGCGCGAGATAGAGAACCTTGAGAGCATTGTATAGATGACGGTGAAGATTACAGNGAGAGGCGGTTCCGAATTTGGAAGTTATAAAGGGAGGAGCTAATGCCACACACGTAGGGGTGCAATTGAGATGGGTAATTCGAGCGCAACTCAAAAAAATTAAGATTTGGATAAGAGTTTTTAATATTTGAGTTAATTTTGGTTTAAAAAATTTTAATTCGAATTTAATTTGGGTTGGATTCGGGTTAAGACCTTGTAAACCCGAGTTCAACCCGACCAATTAAAAAAAATAATTATATATATATAAAAGCATTAGCACTGATTTTTTATTTTTATTCTCTCGTTCTCTATCTCTCTCGTTCTCTTTACCTCTCTCGTTCTCTTTGTCTTTCTCGTTCTATCAGCCTCTCTCGTAAAAAATTCGNTATGTTGAGTTTGTGTTAAATAGAGGGGCAAAATAATTTTTTTTTAAATAGTTAACTTTGTCTCACTGTTGGGGGTTTAGTGTAATTTTTGAAATGTGAGAGAGTGCCCATATAATAAAATCAAATATCAGGGGGGTGAGTGTAATTTATATTTTTTTATTTAATTCATTATTTTTGTACATATANCTACCTGAATTGAACCCGTAAAGTAACCTGAAATCAGCCCGAAATCATCAACCCAAATTCAATCCGAGTCCGCCCGAATTAAATGAAGACAGTGCCCGGGTTGAGTTCTTTAACCTGAAGTAGGGTGAGGGTTAGGGTTAGGGTTAAAAATTATATACCTAGGGTTGATTGTCTAACCCGCCCAAATTGCACCCCTAGCCCCAAGGCACAGGTCGATTTGTTTACTAATTTTTAGGATAAATTACATTCACGCTCCCTAACAGTNAAAATAAATTGTACTTTTTTAGTGTAAAAATTATATATGAAAATTCATAATTTTTATACATAAATTTGAATTTATCCTCATTTGACTTTAAATTTTTTTATTAGATCACAATGTATCAAATCAAGTTNACATATATTTTGTATATAATACTCAAATTTTAGTATACAGTAAAAATAAATTGTACTTTTTTAGTGTAAAAATTATATATGAAAATTCATAATTTTTAAACATAAATTTGAATTTATCCTTATTTGACTTTAAATTTCTCTATTAGATCACTCTGTATCAAATCAAGCTNTAGACATTTAAAACGTATAACAACCACACCCCTCTAACTAATAGACATTATAATGGTTCATGATCAAAATAGATGTCATTAATAATAATTTATAAAATACCAAAAATATCCTTCAAAATTANTTTACCAATTCAAACGTTAACTCAAATTTGAGTAAAATTTTGAGGGAATACTTAAAATGACTTAGTCTTTGATAATAAGGTTGCCAATGAATACTTATAATGNAAAATATCCTTCAAAATTAAGTTTAAAAATGTTAAAATTTATTTTTCTTACCCCATAATTTATTTTTTCTCTCATTTATTTCATCTCTATTTTATATTTCATAATCTATCAAATTAATAAGTTATATACTATAATTTTTTGTTTATTATACAACATATTAATGTAAATTCCGTGTATCAAACAGATTTGCACCCAAATCCACCATTCCATCATCACAATTATTGTTTAAAAAAAAAAATATCACAGTTAACTAGCCCCATTCTCGCATTCATACCACGAAAACCACCACCACCACCACCTCCTCCTCCTCCTCCTCTCTCTCTCCTTCACACACATACATAAATCATTGCCCCTGCCCAATAATGGAGTTACTCCACCACCTTCGTCTCCATTTTCATCTCCACAACCACACAGCACACACACCTCCACCATAGTCTTGCACATTCTACCACATTCTTCTCCTCCTCCTCCATTTCCACCTTCTCAACCACACCACCCACATAATTACCATTGTCAAAATCGAACCCCAAAAAACATTACCGTCATTTTGATTCTCAGATTTTTAAGCTTTGGATCTTTCAATTTATCTCTCTCTCTCTTAACGTTATTTGCTTGGGTGGGTTAACGTTTTGGATGGGGTGGCTATTAAAGGGTGTTGCAGTGGTGGGCGAGGCTAGCAATTTTCATATATATATATATAGAGCTTGAAATAGTAGAAGAATCGATTTCACACACACACACACACACATAGAGAAGGAGTGAGGGAGAGAGAGAAGACCGATGATTTTAACCTAATTCTTTGCCTTGAGAGAGAGAGATAGCGCGAGATAAAGAACCTTGAGAGCATTGTATAGATGACGGTGAAGATTACAGTTGAGGTTAGGGATAGCATTGGGGTTTTATGTTGAGTTTGTGTTAAATAGAGGGGCAAAATAATTTTTTTTTAAATAGTTAACTTTGTCTCACTGTTGGCGGTTTAGTGTAATTTTTGAAATGTGAGAGAGTGCCCATATAATAAAATCAAATATCAGGGGGGTGAGTGTAATTTATCTTTTTTTATTTAATTCATTATTTTTGTACATAATTTTGTATATAATACTCAAATTTTAGTATACAGTAAAAATAAATTGTACTTTTTTAGTGTAAAAATTATATATGAAAATTCATAATTTTTAAACATAAATTTGAATTTATCCTTATTTGACTTTAAATTTCTCTATTAGATCACTCTGTATCAAATCAAGCTTTACCAATTCAAACGTTAACTCAAATTTGAGTAAAATTTTGAGGGAATACTTAAAATGACTTAGTCTTTGATAATAAGGTTGCCAATGAATACTTATAATGCACAATTTTTAGTACACAATATAAAAAATTTGCACTTGATTTTACTGAAACATGCTACATTATTGAACTTTCATTTGATTGACGATGCATTATGATAATTTTTTTATTTAACGTGTAAATAGAAATTCTAAAGGTCTTTCGAGGTGTAAACTGGCATTTGCCTATTTACCTAAAAATAAAGGTGTCATTTACCAAATTCAAGAATTATGTGATTTTCTATCAATTTGTCCTCAAATTTACCAATGTGTGAGTATATTTTTATCAAAAATAAACACTAACAGCATAATATCTCTTATGCATTAAGACACATGCTTGAACCCTTTGACATTAACAGAAAAATTAACAGAAATGTTATTTTATAACATTTTGATACATTAGGGTTCAATGTAAAAAAAATTAGAAAAATTTGGAGACCTATCCCCTTATATTGACTTATTTGGAAATAAGTCCAGAAAAGAAACTTATTTGATTTTAAGTCAACTTTTTATTAAATTTACTGTTGTATCCCTATCATTTGGAAAAGTAATAATTGAAGTCTGACTTACCGTCTTCTATACATAAATTAGATAATTGAGGTATATATAGAAACTTTTGATTGAGTTATATATGAAAACCGTTTATTAAGTATTATGATAATTAACATAAGTTTTATATATAGGTTATATATTCTGATCGTTATATATGGAAGCTTGATGTACGAATAAATCATTGATCTATTAAGTCAAAATCAAATCACAAAATTTTCTTAACAATTCAAAATTTTATTAACATTAGTGTTACTATAGTGACACGAATAAGATTGTTTTCCTTAAAATACTAAATACCTAAACTAAAGAATTTCATCATTTCAAATAGTAACACAAACTCAATCTCAATTTTTACGTACACTACCAATTGTAAACATTTAGGCGTATATTATGTAACATACACATTTAATTTTCACAGTAACATCAAATGTTTGTATTCAGTAATACATCGACTTTTACAAAATACAAGACNAGATTGTTTTCCTTAAAATACTAAATACCTAAAATAAAGAATTTCATCATTTCAAATAGTAACACAAACTCAATCTCAATTTTTACGTACACTACCAATTGTAAACATTTAGGCGTATATTATGTAACATACACATTTAATTTTCACAGTAACACCAAATGTTTGTATTCAGTAATACATCGACTTTTACAAAATACAAGGCAATAAAGTTTTCACAGTAACATCAATATTTAAAATATTATAATGAAAATACGATCTATAAATTGAAAATTTACAAAATTATAGTAGCAACACAACGTTGACATTAAGACAGTCAACATCAATCAAAAACATTAAGACATCGAAATTCTGAAATCTATTTTTCAGTTATCACACAGTAACATAGTTTATTTTACAAACACACAACCAAAGTATTTCGAACGTCTTGCACAACAAAATCGAATTATATAACACTTTAATTTAGTAATAATGAATCTCAAATTTTAAATTAGGAATGCAAAAAAAAAGAAGAGACAATTTGAACTATATATTATATAAAAAAAATTTAAAACCCTACAATGAACAACAACTTTCATGTAAAATCACATACTTTAACTCTATTTCTGAATTCCCAAGTTGTGAAGATGTTATGAATGCAAATAATTAACTGTAACTTTGTCAATGAATCTCACAGTAAACTTGAAGAGTAAAATCGAAATTGGGTTTGTGTTACTATTTGAAATGGTGAAATTCTTCATTTTAGGTAGTGAGTGTTTTAAGGAAAACAATCATATTCGTGTCACTATAGTAACATTAGTGTCACTATAATAACATTAATGTTAAAAAAATTTTGAATTGTTAAGGAATTTTTGTAATGTGATTTTAACTTAATAAACCAACGATTTATTCGTACATTAAACTATCATATATAACTATAAGAATATATAATTTCCATATAAAACTTTCGTTAGTTATCATAATATTTAATAAACAATTTCTATATATAACTCAATAAATGATTTCTATGTATACAACAATGATATAACTTATGTGACTTTCTGTAACTGAACAAAACTAATACCGTTAGGATAATTTTGAGATTTAAAAATAGTGTCATTGTATGCATTCAGAACAAAATTTTAACAAGGATTACAGGCCGGCCTATAGGTTAAAAATAAAAGCAGGGGCTTTAGGCCTCACATACGAAAAAGGCCCAAAATTTAAAAATTAATAATATAATATAAGTAATAAAATAAAATTTATTATAATATTACCTAAAAATTTAATTTTTGAAAGAGTAATTCAACACAAAAATTAAAAATTTGGGCCTAAAAGTTCAGACCTCATCACATAATCACAATTATTAAAGGACAAAAAAGATTAATAAAAAAAATACTGACAAAATCTATCTTTTTTTTCAATTGAAAGAAGTGTAATAAACATCTCTCTTTAGTTAAAAAACAAAAAAAAAAATCAAAACCAAACACATTATTTACTTCTCTTAAACTTGTTTTTTTTTTTTCTCATTTGAATGTAAAATACCAATTAAACCATTCATTCTCATTAAAAAAAAAATGTTTTGATAAAGTTCTTATTCGTAACAAATAAAATATAACAAAAACTTAGGTAAAAGTTGCATGGATAAATAAATAAAATTCAAAGATAGTAAAATAATTCAAAAGAAAGATAATAATAAATTTATTTATAATAAAGTCAATCATTTAATTCCACATTTTTGATAAAGAACATATAAAACAAATAAAAAGAACATAAAAATATTAATGAAAAAATTAATTTTATTCCTATAAATATTTATGATCAAATGTCATATTATTAATTAAAAAAATATATTAGCAAAATTTAAATAAAAAAATTAATAATTTCAAATCTCATCAAAAAATAAAAATAATAGATTTTAAATTAAAAAATTAAATTATTATTAACTGTCATTGCTTTATGCCTCAAACATTGTTGAGCCACCCCTGAAGTATTATTATTCAACTCTTTTGTAACAACTGACTCGTACTTATCACATTTTAAATCGCTCTTCTTCAAACCGAAATAAGAATTTGTTATAAAACAAATATTATCCAAGGAGGTAAGACCCACATGCCAAAAACATGTACAATACAAATATTTTAGTAAGAATTTGTTGCAAGGGTAAATTATACTTTAACCCCCTAACCTATAGACTCAATTTCACTTTGTCTCTTGAACTATTAAACTTTTCACAATATCACCTCAACTACTTGAATTATTTCATATTATCACAATCGCAAATATCCACTATCTTTTTGGACAAAAATTGCCAACGACAAAAGAAAAAAAAATTACATAATTAAGATCAAAACTGGTCACACCCATATAAATATATGAACAGATGAAAGTGATGAAATGCCATTATAGGCTATCGATATTGCTAAAAAAATAATTAGCAAAGGGTATCTTACAAAGTCTATAGCTAACGCAAACAATTTTTTACATGGTCTATTACAAATACAGCTAAAAAAAGATAATATGAGAACTTGCTTATTAGTCCAAAGCTCCAAATGAAAAACAAACCTTATGCAGCTTTATTGCTTTCTACTTCTCCATTTTCTGTGAAGAATAAGTAATGACTATGAAATTTTGCCTATAGAAAAAATAGGGTTCATGCTTTTCCCTTCCTCTTTTCATCCAATGCCTGTTTGGAAAAACAAAAAATGCATAAATATTTGTTGAAAGAATGACACACAAGCACTTTGATGTGTCACATAAATATTGAAACTCCAAGTAAGCTATGGTCCACAATGATTCAAAGGACATAACTACAATATCTAGAACATGAAAGTAATCCAAAAGGTAGTGAGGTTCGAACGATTTGGAGAAAGAAAAATAAATGAAATCTAGATATGGAACATATTTATTGAACATAAAAAACACATATGGGTTAAGGTTGTCTACCACTCACATCTCCTAACTCTGCTAAAGGCTGAAGACTTGTGCACTGGTTAAAACTATTTATGAGCAACTTCCCAAAACATTGGACATATTCCAGCCAAAAAGGTCCATAATAGTAAAGGATTTTTCTCCTTTCCCAATTAGGAAAGCACATAAATGAATTGAATTAAGAAGTGTGTGCCAAGGGCTTTCATAAAAAAGTAAACAATCTCAACTCCAATGTGAATATTACTTCTCTTCTCTATTGTGTTGTATTCTGGTCATGTTTTCTGTTAAACTCTAAGCTATCCTATCTTTTTTTTTACTATCTCATTGAAAGTTAATTTTGGTCCAACTTTTCCTCTTATATTACCATCGATATGTATCAAATCACTACTCTTAGCTGGTGCAGTACTAGGTTTTCTAAAAAGAAAAACTCACACCGTCTAAGTTAATTTTCTCGCAATTTATGTCTAGTTGGTGTTAATTCTATGCTTTTATGTCCTGTCAGTGTTAATTCTACACATTCGCAAAATTATGTATTTTTAATTCAATCTTTTTGACAGCCGCAGGAAGCCTGACATCTTTTGAAATAGTTTTCCCACTTTTTTGTTGTTATCCATCAATCGAAAAATTTGCATAATTCAAAAAAAATTCTGACGTTTGTTTTATTCCAAAAGATATTTATAACAAGTAGTACTCCTACTAATTCCCGTTCGATAGGTTCCCATTCGAGGGCTTCAACCAGCATTTCGCCCCATGCATCGGGAATTGGATCAAGATCAACTGAGCTTAAACATTGAATATCCAAGTTGAAGTTCCTTTACCTAGTTTAAACATTTACTCCACATTCACCTCGACTCTAACAAGTGTAGGTTATACGTAACAAGTGATGAGCAAGAAAGACACTGAATTAAGCAATTTCACAAGCAGTAACTTCAGTTTTTTCCACCAAGGAAACTAAATGATCTAACTAAAGAGGCCTTTCAGTTCCAGGGCACTCATGATTGGAGGTGGCAGTTCTGACCCGTAACACGTCAACATGCCCAACCTACCCATGAATTAATGGGGTTGATACCAGTTTTTATTAATATGGGTTTAGACGGATTGTGTGTTATTGATTGGTATAATTATATGGGATTAAAATGGGTACCCAATGGGTTTCCTTCTCAAAAACAAAAAAGACAAATGCCTCATCCCCTTGTTGTCGTCGGTCATGAAAGAGAGGAAAAACGAGTTTCTCTCTCACCCAACTCCCCCTCTCTCTCCTCTTGCTGTTCTGGTTGGGTTTTGAAACGACATATCCGAGCTAAAATTTCACATTGAATCCCTCATCTCCACGATGATCAGTACCGTCGGCGGTGCTACAGGAGTCAACATTGATGACGGAGGAACTGGAGGTGTCGACATCATCCATTTGGCCACTGTACAAGTATGCCCTTTTACCTATCTAGGTTGCCCAATTATTAAGGGTAGAACTAGAGTGAGGTTTTTTGAAGGGATTTTGGTAAAATTCAGATAGAAGCTAGAAGAGTGGTATGCCAGATTATTGGTAAAATGCAGTCCCTGTGCACTTAATGGCTAGTCTGAATTTACCAAAAACTATTATTGCTAAGCTTAATTCCTTAATGTCAGGGTTTATTTGGTCAAATAAACTGGATGTTAACAAAAGACATTGGGTGGCTTGGGGAAGGATTACTATGCCTAAGAATGAGGGAGGTTTGGGGGTGAGGAAATTTGAGGAAGTGCAAGCTGCCTTTAGAATGAAACAGGTGTGAAGTGTTCTGAAATAAGAATCTTTATGGGCCCAGATATTCTCTGCAAAAATTTTGAGGGGAAGGCATTTGCTGAGATGCTTAGGTAGGGGTCATGCTAAATGTTTTGAGGTTTTAAAGCCTTACTTTGAGAAGGTTGTGTTTTGTTCCAGAATGATTATTGGTAATGGGCATGGAACAGCTTTTTGGTGTGATAATTGGATGGGGGATGGTCCATTGCTAAGAAGGATTNAATGAAAATACGATCTATAAATTGAAAATTTACAAAATTATAGTAGCAACACAACGTTGACATTAAGACAGTCAACATCAATCAAAAACATTAAGACATCGAAATTCTGAAATCTATTTTTCAGTTATCACACAGTAACATAGTCTATTTTACAAANTTGTTGGATGCCTCAACAGTTTCCCAAGCTTGCCGATCTGTTGATAGGATCTCAGTACCAGATGGGTGCATTGGAGGGGGTGTTAACTGAGCAGTTGAGGGATGAAGTGGTTAATACGNTTGTTGGATGCCTCAACAGTTTCCCAAGCTTGCCGATCTGTTGATAGGATCTCAGTGGCAGATGGGTGCATTGGAGGGGGTGTTAACTGAGCAGTTGAGGGATGAAGTGGTTAATATGNTGACATTAAGACAGTCAACATCAATCAAAAACATTAAGACATCGAAATTCTGAAATCTATTTTTCAGTTATCACACAGTAACATAGTTTATTTTACAAACACACAACCAAAGTATTTCGAACGTCTTGCACAACAAAATCGAATTATATAACACTTTAATTTAGTAATAATGAATCTCAAATTTTAAATTAGGAATGCAAAAAAAAAGAAGAGTCAATTTGAACTATATATTATATAAAAAAAATTTAAAACCCTACAATGAACAACAACTTTCGTNAATTTAGTAATAATGAATCTCAAATTTTAAATTAGGAATGCAAAAAAAAAGAAGAGACAATTTGAACTATATATTATATAAAAAAAATTTAAAACCCTACAATGAACAACAACTTTCGTGTAAAATCACATACTTTAACTCTATTTCTGAATTCCCAAGTTGTGAAGATGTTATGAATGCAAATAATTAACTGTAACTTTGTCAATGAATCTCACAATAAACTTGAAGAGTAAAATCGAAATTGGGTTTGTGTTACTATTTGAAATGGTGAAATTCTTCATTTTAGGTAGTGAGTGTTTTAAGGAAAACAATCATATTCGTGTCACTATAGTAACATTAGTGTCACTATAGTAACATTAATGTTAAGAAAATTTTGAATTGTTAAGGAATTTTTGTAATGTGATTTTGANATCTCACAGTAAACTTGAAGAGTAAAATCGAAATTGGGTTTGTGTTACTATTTGAAATGGTGAAATTCTTCATTTTAGGTAGTGAGTGTTTTAAGGAAAACAATCATATTCGTGTCACTATAGTAACATTAGTGTCACTATAATAACATTAATGTTAAAAAAATTTTGAATTGTTAAGGAATTTTTGTAATGTGATTTTGACTTAATAAACCAACGATTTATTCGTACATTAAACTATCATATATAACTATAAGAATATATAATTTCCATATAAAACTATCGTTAGTTATCATAATATTTAATAAACAATTTCTATATATAACTCAATAAATGATTTCTATGTATACAACAATGATATAACTTATGTGACTTTCTGTAACTGAACAAAACTAATACCGTTAGGATAATTTTGAGATTTAAAAATAGTGTCATTGTATGCATTCAGAACAAAATTTTAACAAGGATTACAGGCCGGCCTATAGGTTAAAAATAAAAGCAGGGGCTTTAGGCCTCACATACGAAAAAGGCCCAAAATTTAAAAATTAATAATATAATATAAGTAATAAAATAAAATTTATTATAATATTACCTAAAAATTTAATTTTTGAAAGAGTAATTCAACACAAAAATTAAAAATTTGGGCCTAAAAGTTCAGACCTCATCACATAATCACAATTATTAAAGGACAAAAAAGATTAATAAAAAAAATACTAACAAAATCTATCTTTTTTTTCAATTGAAAGAAGTGTAATAAACATCTCTCTTTAGTTAAAAAACAAAAAAAAAAATCAAAACCAAACACATTATTTACTTCTCTTAAACTTGTTTTTTTTTTTTCTCATTTGAATGTGAAATACCAATTAAACCATTCATTCTCATTAAAAAAAAATGTTTTGATAAAGTTCTTATTCGTAACAAATAAAATATAACAAAAACTTAGGTAAAAGCTGCATGGATAAATAAATAAAATTCAAAGATAGTAAAATAATTCAAAAGAAAGATAATAATAAATTTATTTATAATAAAGTCAATCATTTAATTCCACATTTTTGATAAAGAACATATAAAACAAATAAAAAGAACATAAAAATATTAATGAAAAAATTAATTTTATTCCTATAAATATTTATGATCAAATGTCATATTATTAATTAAAAAAATATATTAGCAAAATTTAAATAAAAAAATTAATAATTTCAAATCTCATCAAAAAATAAAAATAATAGATTTTAAATTAAAAAATTAAATTATTATTAACTGTCATTGCTTTATGCCTCAAACATTGTTGAGCCACCCCTGAAGTATTATTATTCAACTCTTTTGTAACAACTGACTCGTACTTATCACATTTTAAATCGCTCTTCTTCAAACCGAAATAAGAATTTGTTATAAAACAAATATTATCCAAGGAGGTAAGACCCACATGCCAAAAACATGTACAATACAAATATTTTAGTAAGAATTTGTTGCAAGGGTAAATTATACTTTAACCCCCTAACCTATAGACTCAATTTCACTTTGTCTCTTGAACTATTAAACTTTTCACAATATCACCTCAACTACTTGAATTATTTCATATTATCACAATCGCAAATATCCACTATCTTTTTGGACAAAAATTGCCAACGACAAAAGAAAAAAAAATTACATAATTAAGATCAAAACTGGTCACACCCATATAAATATATGAACAGATGAAAGTGATGAAATGCCATTATAGGCTATCGATATTGCTAAAAAAATAATTAGCAAAGGGTATCTTACAAAGTCTATAGCTAACGCAAACAATTTTTTACATGGTCTATTACAAATACAGCTAAAAAAAGATAATATGAGAACTTGCTTATTAGTCCAAAGTTCCAAATGAAAAACAAACCTTATGCAGCTTTATTGCTTTCTACTTCTCCATTTTCTGTGAAGAATAAGTAATGACTATGAAATTTTGTCTATAGAAAAAATAGGGTTCATGCTTTTCCCTTCCTCTTTTCATCCAATGCCTGTTTGGAAAAACAAAAAATGCATAAATATTTGTTGAAAGAATGACACACAAGCACTTTGATGTGTCACATAAATATTGAAACTCCAAGTAAGCTATGGTCCACAATGATTCAAAGGACATAACTACAATATCTAGAACATGAAAGTAATCCAAAAGGTAGTGAGGTTTGAACGATTTGGAGAAAGAAAAATAAATGAAATCTAGATATGGAACATATTTATCGAACATAAAAAACACATATGGGTTAAGGTTGTCTACCACTCACATCTCCTAACTCTGCTAAGGGCTGAAGACTTGTGCACTGGTTAAAACTATTTATGAGCAACTTCCCAAAACATTGGACATATTCCAGCCAAAAAGGTCCATAATATTAAAGGATTTTTCTCCTTTCCCAATTAGGAAAGCACATAAATGAATTGAATTAAGAAGTGTGTGCCAAGGGCTTTCATAAAAAAGTAAACAATCTCAACTCCAATGTGAATATTACTTCTCTTCTCTATTGTGTTGTATTCTGGTCATGTTTTATGTTAAACTCTAAGCTATCCTATCTTTTTTTTTACTATCTCATTGAAAGTTAATTTTGGTCCAACTTTTCCTCTTATATTACCATCGATATGTATCAAATCACTACTCTTAGCTGGTGCAGTACTAGGTTTTCTAAAAAGAAAAACTCACACCGTCTAAGTTAATTTTCTCGCAATTTATGTCTAGTTGGTGTTAATTCTATGCTTTTATGTCCTGTCAGTGTTAATTCTACACATTCGCAAAATTATGTATTTTTAATTCAATCTTTTTGACAGCCGCAGGAAGCCTGACATCTTTTGAAATAGTTTTCCCACTTTTTTGTTGTTATCCATCAATCGAAAAATTTGCATAATTCAAAAAAAATTCTGACGTTTGCTTTATTCCAAAAGATATTTATAACAAGTAGTACTCCTACTAATTCCCGTTCGATAGGTTCCCATTCGAGGGCTTCAACCAGCATTTCGCCCCATGCATCGGGAATTGGATCAAGATCAACTGAGCTTAAACATTGAATATCCAAGTTGAAGTTCCTTTACCTAGTTTAAACATTTACTCCACATTCACCTCGACTCTAACAAGTGTAGGTTATACGTAACAAGTGATGAGCAAGAAAGACACTGAATTAAGCAATTTCACAAGCAGTAACTTCAGTTTTTTCCACCAAGGAAACTAAATGATCTAACTAAAGAGGCCTTTCAGTTCCAGGGCACTCATGATTGGAGGTGGCAGTTCTGACCCGTAACACGTCAACATGCCCAACCTACCCATGAATTAATGGGGTTGATACCAGTTTTTATTAATATGGGTTTAGACGGATTGTGTGTTGTTGATTGGTATAATTATATGGGATTAAAATGGGCACCCAATGGGTTTCCTTCTCAAAAACAAAAAAGACAAATGCCTCATCCCCTTGTTGTCGTCGGTCATGAAAGAGAGGAAAAACGAGTTTCTCTCTCACCCAACTCCCCCTCTCTCTCCTCTTGCTGTTCTGGTTGGGTTTTGAAACGACATATCCGAGCTAAAATTTCACATTGAATCCCTCATCTCCACGATGATCAGTACCGTCGGCGGTGCTACAGGAGTCAACATTGATGACGGAGGAACTGGAGGTGTCGACATCATCCATTTGGCCACTGTACAAGTATGCCCTTTTACCTATCTAGGTTGCCCAATTATTAAGGGTAGAACTAGAGTGAGGTTTTTTGAAGGGATTTTGGTAAAATTCAGATAGAAGCTAGAAGAGTGGTATGCCAGATTATTGGTAAAATGCAGTCCCTGTGCACTTAATGGCTAGTCTGAATTTACCAAAAACTATTATTGCTAAGCTTAATTCCTTAATGTCAGGGTTTATTTGGTCAAATAAACTGGATGTTAACAAAAGACATTGGGTGGCTTGGGGAAGGATTACTATGCCTAAGAATGAGGGAGGTTTGGGGGTGAGGAAATTTGAGGAAGTGCAAGCTGCCTTTAGAATGAAACAGGTGTGAAGTGTTCTGAAATAAGAATCTTTATGGGCCCAGATATTCTCTGCAAAAATTTTGAGGGGAAGGCATTTGCTGAGATGCTTAGGTAGGGGTCATGCTAAATGTTTTGAGGTTTTAAAGCCTTACTTTGAGAAGGTTGTGTTTTGTTCCAGAATGATTATTGGTAATGGGCATGGAACAGCTTTTTGGTGTGATAATTGGATGGGGGATGGTCCATTGCTAAGAAGGAT